AATACTCCCTGCTAGGGTCCAAGGGGCTGCAAGGCTTAGCCATAAGTACTGGACCGACAAGTACTTAACTTACACTAAGATTTGTGACGTGGCCGATCTCATGGAGGCAGGGCTCGCCATGCAAGCTCGTTCTCAAAGTTTCTTAGTCAATGCTCAAATGGAGGCGAGGCGGATGCAGGGGCTCGTGCAAGAATATTACAATCGAGCTCAGAATGCCGAGTTTGCCTCGATCAAGGCTAAAGTCGAGGCTGTCTCAGCCACCAAATCTGCTGAGGCTTCCAAGCTGAAATACGCCGAGGCCGTGTCCAAGGTGGAAGCCCTCTCCAAAGAAAACAAGGGGCTGAAGGAGGAGGCACGCCTTTTTAAGGTTGAGGCGAACAATTTGACCAAGAGGGTTGAAAATTCTGACAACCTTCAGAGGATCGTCTCAACGGCTCTAGAGGCGGCTAATAAAGAGAAAGGGTAATTGAAGGCTTGCGTTATTGAGCTTACTTCTGAAGCCTCAACCTTTGAGGAACAATTGAAGAAGGCTGGAGAGGCGGCGGTGCATGACTATATAGCCCATTTTCATGAGACTACAGAGTATGAGGGGTTGAAAATTCATTGGCAAGTGGTAGCCTATGCTGAGGTCTTTGAGAGGTTGGCCGAGTTGCATCCCCAGTTGGATATATCCTCTCTGGAAGGGGAATTCTTGGCAAATGAATCTTCAACTCCGGCTACTGAAGAGAACGAGGTGGAGGCGGTCGAAGCTTCGGAAGAAATGTCTAAAGAAGATACCGCACATATAGAGTAGGTTTATTTGTAATATTTGGCTCTTCTTTGTATTCGCCTCTACTTGTAATGAATACATTCTTTTTATCATGTTTTCTTCGCACAAGTCACGCTTTATTTTTAAGCCATACAACTTACTTTCTTATTTAAGCCATAAAACACTTTACGAGCTTGTTGTGATAGTAGTAAAATAGGCTAACTGTGTTGGTAATTCCTTTTGACGAGCCTGCTATATTTTTACTTTCGAACTAACCAAGCTTGTTAGATACTCAGTATCTCGTTATGAATAATATTTTCAAGACTTGTTGTGCCTTGGGATTGTTAGGATTCGTGAATAGTGGCAATGGCTTGCTGTAACCCATTTTTGACGGGTCTGCTATAACTAAAACGGCTTGGTGAACTCCTAATTACCAAAATTAATTAGACTAACATGGTTCGCCCATACGTTAACCGTTGATGGAGATGTCATACTTAAGAAATAATACTTGTGAGCTCGTCACAATTAATTAACTTGATGGAGATATGTGCTCGCCATATATTAACCGTTGATGGAGATGCGTATGAGCTTATCATGCTTAAGCAACAATACTTGTGAGCTCGTCACAATTAATTAACTTGATGGAGATGTGGGCTCGCCGTATATTAACCGTTGATGGAGATGTGTATGAGCTTGTCATACTTAAGCAATAACGCTTGTGAGCTCGTCACAATTAATTAATTTGATGGAGATGTGGGCTCACCATATATTAACCATTGATGGAGATGTGAATGAGCTTGTCATACTTAAGCAATAATACTTGTGAGCTCGTCACAATTAACTAATTTGATGGAAGAACTTTCATTGACCATGAACGGTACATATATGGAATATAATCTTAATGATAATACATTCGGAGGTGCTCCACATTCCATGGGTGGGGCTGCATCTTCTCATTGAGATTCTCAATTAAGAAGGTTCCAAGCCTGACCTTACCTGCAATGTGATAAGGACCCTCCCAATTTGCGCCCAACGTGTCTACCCCTAGCTCTTTTGACGACAGAAACACCCTTCTAAGTATTAAAACACCTCTTCGGAAAGATTTGCGTTTAACTTTGCGATTGTAGGTGATGGTGGCACCCCTTGAGGCTCTTTCCTTTCCCGCCTATTTCTATGTGGTGGTAGCACCCCTTGAGGCTCATACCTCTGATGTCGTTCTCGTTCCCCTTGAGCGGAGAGAGGTTGTTGAGGCCTATTCCTAGGCCTCGTGGGTCCAATCCTATCAAAGACACTGGTAGACCTTTGAAGCTCGTGCTCCTGAGGGTATTTCGAGGGAAAGTGGTCCTCTATACATCTCCGCCATGGTGGCTCGTGACATAGTTGGTAGATGTGTCGACTTCTACTTCCATTTCTACCGTTCTATCATTTTCTTCACCCTTCTGGCGAAAAGTCCTGTGCTGAGGCGCCTGGGACCCAGCTTGTTGTTGCATCTGCATTAGCAGTTACTGCATGACAGCATTTTATTGGGCTATATTTCTCACGTTGGCGGCCATTTCTCCAACTTCCCGTGCCAGGCGTGCAGTTGTACCACCTCCACTATGGCGATGGTAGGGACGACACATGTTTACATTCGTGTGGAGAACCTCTTCTTTAGAAGCATCCTGCTGAATATTCCGACCATGAGTTCCCTGGTGACTCGAACTCATCGAATTTCTTGGATCACTTTCTCAAAATGGTTCTTTATTCAAGAACCAAAGCCTTTCTTCAAGGCTTTTCACCCACAGCTTTTACCACTAGGATATATTTGGTCATGGGTTCGATTCCCATAGACGGCGCCAATCTGTTGACCCCAAAATATGGACCAATGACGTAGCCAACAGAAAATTACAAATTCACGTCTTTGTAAGTGTAATCGCAATATACTCAAATCAAATTACTAATTATATTGATGAGTTAATGAAGAGAATGATTCGAAGTGTCTAACCAGTTGCAATGTGGTTATTTAGTTGATAAAAGGGGGGTCGGCGTAAGGAGTAAAACAAAGAGAATCAAGGTTCACTTTTGCTGTGTAAACTTTCATCTCCTTCGATGGTGTTAAGTGTGTCTTTTTATACCGAGTGGAACGAGGGATCCAACCTGTTAGATGGCCAAGCACGTGGGTATACTAGATCCAAGGGTCCTTATTGACACCAATTAATCAATCAACCAAACCCTTTAATGCTAAAATCCCCACCTGCAGGCTAAGGATCCGGTAGTATAAGGCTCTGTCTGGGAGCAATTTTTTGGGCCAAAACATTGATTTTCCAACCGTTAAATTCAACACGGGTCCCACCAATGTGAGGAGGGAGTCAACAAGTGCGGCTCCAACGATTTAAAAAATGATTAAAATCTTGAGGAAAATTGGAAACAGACAGCCCTTAAGTATGTAGGGGCGGCATCTGCAGTGTATTGTCTTGTCAATCGCTTCACAAGGTCTGCTGTGGTTGATTTACCACCTCTCCAAGGATAGGTTCGTACCGGGGACCTCTTCAAAAGGGGATCGAACGAAACAATTTGAGATGGACTATGCCTCGGCATATGTCAAGTCGGGTTGCCCACATTTCTATGCCAAATGTAATTGTCTATCCACCACGTGGCGCGCTTGCGTGACGTGTTTAGTTTACGATTATTTATATGATTAATAACTTTAATTAGAAATCTCAATTATTTTTAACAAAAAATTCGGATCACACCCAAATTCTAATTATTTCCCCTTCCTCTTGTTCTCTTGACTTTATATATATATATATATATATATATGTATATATATATATATATGGTTGGAGAATCCAAATCCCTACTAACCTTTCCCAGTGGAGCCTAATAACCAATTGAGGCTTTGCTGGTGTTTCACTTTAAAAACAAAAATCTATTTATTTGTTGTGGCACAAACCGGACCCATATCGCTTAAATACAATTTCATCGGGATATTTTCTTTAGTTGACAATGATTGTAACCGTGGGCACATCCTCGCATCTCATCCAAATACTCTTTACCCGATCCCGTGTTCGTATCAATGTTCGTAACAACTCAGTAAAAAATTACAGAAACTTGAAAGTTTGAAGAAGTAATGGTTTATTTAAAAGAGGACTGTGACGACTACAGTGCATACTAGTAGTAATAAATTGATTGTAGATGGCTGTATGAAAATCTTTGTGCATAACAAGACCTCGAGTTAGTGCAAAAACGTCATCCATTTCGTTTACAGGCCTTTTTAACAGCAACAGATGAGTAGCACAAACTTTTAAATTGTCTAATAAAACAAAAGCAATTCATAATCAAGATCTGCCAAGAACAAATCCCGCAATAAAAGTTCGGCTTTCAATTGACCCAAACGGAAAAGGTTGGATAAGAATAGCAAAAGCAGCAAGATGGACTACATTTTATAGTTCTCACAGAAAACAAAGCTACAACATCCGACTTTAGACATAAGCATAACAATGTCTTGGAAAATTAACCTGAACGGATCCGACAAAAAGCATTTCTTTAAGAACAATAATCAGTTTACAACTATAGCTCCTGCTCCTTTTCGTCAGGAAGCAATCGATCTTCAAGAGATCTCCACATCTTATATGCATTTTCGATTGTGTCAAGCATCCTCCATGATGTTGGGAGACCACATCATAAACCCATGAAACATTTTTCGACTTACAGCCTCTTGCTTGTCCTGCTCAAGTTAATGTATCAAGCCAAGACTTCAAACAAGTGACGAGTTCTTGTCACTATCGCAAAAAATTGAATGTCTAAGTTCAATTGAGACAAGACTTGAACAATGATGGAATACACGCACAAGAAAACATAATAACTCCAGCTCAATAGAAAATGCAGTAAACTAAAAAGCAACTAAAATTTACATTTCCAAGGAATTCAAGACATTATGTAACCAACAGATTAAGTCAAAAGCTATCCAAGTCTCAAGTCCTTGTCTAGATTTAGCAATTACCCAAGTCCCATATCATCATGGTGTTAAGAATTCGACATTACCATAATGCAATAAACTACAACATGAAGATTCAGTACTACAATCTGAGAACGAACGAGATTTTCGGCGCATGCTACATGAATGTTTATGCAGAAGCCTTGAAGATCCCACTTGCCCATAAATCAAACTTCCTGCAACAGATCCTAATACTAAGAGTTTCACCTCTACAATCATCACTTTAACTTGCAATTGTCAGACCTAAATTTTACTCCTCTCTTGTCACTGAAGGACTCAACTTTCGGTCTGAGGCTGTTGTGGCTGAGGTGGCATGCCTTGAACATTTGTAGTTGCATTTACGTTCAATGACGCCAGTGTTTCTAGCTCTTCTAATGCACTTATTGCAGTTGCATTGTTTAAAAATGGTTTTATCACACTCACTATTGGCTTGATTCTTGATTGCTGGAAGTCAATTTGAGAACATGGATTTATTAGTGCATCAACACCAACTCCATAACAGGAGAAATCTAGAAAGAAAACAAACCACAACAATGCTTATGCTGCTTACCAAATGTCCAAGTTTGCCTTTAAGATCATTATAGGCCACTAGCTGTTGGAAGTTGGGAGCTTGAGTCACTGTATGCGATGCATCCTAGCAACCAAAGACAAGCCATAGAAAAATATGAACTAGCTCAATAAAAATATCATTGCACCTAAACTATTATAATTGCAACGTGAATGCATGATTCAGATAAGCAAATTGGGGATCTGAGCAGGCGTGGAAGAATAGTTCACTCTGGTAATTAGCTCCACATTTCTCCACTGTACGTGCCCTTAGCTAACTAGAAGACACCAGCAAGTCAAAACTAACTAGAAAGCACTTGTTACAACTTACTATAAACTCAAGTGTGTATCTTCTAAAATAAGTACCATGACCGTAATATATGCAAGAGTGTGCACACTCGATTAGTATTATCTTTCAAGCTAAACCAATGATAATTATTTTCTATTTAAACATAGAAGCAAATTCTGTTTCAAACTAGTATAAATAAAGATAAACAAACTAACTACTACGATATGACGATAATAACGATGACAATGACAGCAAACGAGAAGAATTACTCATTTAAATATATGACCTTGTTTCAAACTTTAGAATAAACACAAAAATACTGTCAATTGAATTCAACTGAAGATTTATTCATTTTCTTGTATTTTAATTGATTTTTTTCTTTCCGTATGTTTTTTAGTATTTAAGTTTGGAATTTTTAACTTTCATTATTTTGTACACTTCCATTTATTGCTAGGAATAAGTACACAAAAGACTACTATTTCTGAATAATATAGATAACTGATTTATGATATTGAGTGATATTTAAATTATTCACCTTCTCTCTTCCAAATTCTTAATTATTCTCTTGTTTTGCTCTCTTCTTGTTCTTGATTCTGCATCAACTGATACCAGAATTGCCTCGTCCTTCTGACAGTTTCCTTCTCAAACCTATAATTCTCGACACTGTTTGTTTTCTACTCTCATATGTGCCTTGCACTCCTATTTATAACCAAGTCCATCATATAGCAATCTTTATCTCAGGCACTTGGTTGAAGAGTCTTCCAATGTGAGTCAAAAATTTAAAAAGTTAATGAAATGTATTGCACTTCAAAGTCAAAATTTGTAATTCAAGTACTAAAGTGATACATGGCAACAAGTCATAAAATATAATCATCAAGAAACAAGAGTAACACAGTTATCAAGAATAATATCAGATGTATAAATACTTAGAGAACGTGTATAGCATGACAAGAATTATATCCTAGCATTTATGTAATATATGCTGCCTTCAACTAACACTAACGATCATGATTAAAGCATCATGTCTCAATGATTGCCATAAACCAAGATACTGGAACACTATATATTAATTATCCAAATATTTATGCAAGTATGCATATAAGTTTGATTATCATTTCATATGTCCTAAGCAAATTATGGCCAGTGTTTTCAATTTTTATTTGTGTTGCTGTTATATGCATGTCATCTCCAGAATTTGATTCCTATACATAAATGAAGAGAACACTAAGAAGGTGGCTGTGTTACTTTGGCTAAAACTGCAAACTTGGGGGCCTTGATAAGTGCGTTTTGTGCACTTATTCAAGCCATATTATTATGCCTTTATATCATCAAAGTATTGAATTTTACTTAACTTAGGTTAATTTTCTTTTGTTTCAGTGTTGGACCCGCTTCAAACCAATTGGAAAAGAACGAAGGACCAAAATAGGCGTGATTTTAAAGTAGAGGAACAAATCCTATATTTTAGAAATTGAAGGGCTTGAAGTGAAGTGAAGTAAAGAAAGACATGAGTAGCATAATTAATTGGATTTCAGGACTAAAGTACATTAATGGAATGAAGTGTGAGGCCTTGGAAGATAAATAGCAATTAATTGGGCCTAGACCAATTGTAATGGGAATGAAATTCATCCATTGGACTCCTGTTGGGCCTAAACCAATTTGGCGGCAGAGAGGTAAAGATATATACAGTTGCAGGGGCAGCCAAGAAAGAGGAGAGAAAAAAAAAACGCAGAGGTTGGCGGCTGTAAAGAAACTATGGTAGGTAGAGAACAACTAACTGAACAAACTCAACATGAGCTCTGCATCTAATATAGGAGGAAAATTCCTCAAAATGGTGTAGAAAATTAACCTCTTATAAATCCTTAAGAGTCCAATCCAAAAATAGAAACTTGCAAAACACATGTAGGCCAAATATCATGGCCTAGCTGATGCAAAGCATGATTAAATATGGAGGTTGGCCTATTGTTTAAGGGGGTTGGCCGCCAAACAAATAGTGTTAGGTGGATTCTCTGGCATAATCGTGGGATATATAGAGCTTGATTGGATCTCTCCTATACGTTATAACTTTTGAGGAAAGTGTTCACATCTTACTCCATCGGTTTCTATCAGAGCTGGAGGTGTCCCGTATTTGATTCTCCTGAAAATGAGGGTGAGCCTATTTGTAAGAGGGTATGGCCCCCAAACCAATAGTGCTCAGGGTGGAATTTGGGCTTGATATTGGATGATATAGAGCTTAATTGCACCTCTCTTATTAGTTATAATTTTTGAAAAAAGTGATTATGTCTCTCTACATCACAAGTATAGATGTTTTGTGACTTATCTATTTCATGGTAAAGGAACTGGATTGTGTACTATGCATCTCCTTGAAAAGTTTGTCATACAATAGACTTTTCCTTACATATATGGCATCTACCACTAACAAATCGTGTGCTAAGATTTGTAAAGGATGATTTTGTTGTTCCCAAATGGAAAGAAAATGAGCTTAGAAGAAGAAAATGAGCTTATAAGATAAACAAGTCCTTGACAATAATGGAACTTGGTAGTATGTTAATTTGCCTAAAGGGAATCATATGGTGAAGCGTATATAGGTGTTCACACTCACTCAAGTATAAAGTGGATAGGACTAAGCATGAAGAGTTGCACATGCATTCTATCAGTAAAAATAGAAAGCGGATTAATCCAAATGCAATTTATTCCAAAACGAAAAGCATCTTAAAGATATTCTTACAGAAGGATTCTAAGACAACAACTTGAGTTATTGACTAGAAAGCATGGAATGGAAGATATATTTAAGTCACAAGTCATTTCTAGGAAGAATAAGAATTTTATTTGATCCGATTATGTCTAGAGACAAACTAAGAATTCAAAGCCTAATTTCAGGATCAGTTTTCCTTCTTTAAATAACTTGGTAAATTCCTAGTTCATGTGTTATTTCTTGAAACATGAGTCCATGTCACTACGATGCTAAAAGCACCAAAAATTTGTTGAAGGAGAATAAAATAGAATCTTAAAATTAATAAATTTTGGTAAAGCAAAGACTTAAAACCAACATATTTAAATATTCAATTGAATGTATATTGAAAATAATTGTACTAGTGTCAACTTACATAATTACTATTAGGTAATTTAATGAAAATCATGAAAAACAATTGAATCAAAAGAAAATATATGGATGAATTGTAAACATGGAAAATTATCTTAATCAAAGCATTTAAATTTGTCACAAACTCATGTTGTTAAGTGTTGGTTAGCAAAGATATATTTCACATCCAATCAAATCGAATCCAAGAGAGGCTATAATTAGTGACAACAATATTCCACATAAAATGGGGAATTCCATACTTTTATGGAGTGGTTCAAACTAAAAAAAATAGGTAAATTGAAGTAACATTAGGTTTGCAACAAACCCTTGGAATTGATAACTAGATTCATTTGAGTACCTTATCTTACTTTCCTTCTTTGAGTAAGCCCTTTTACATTTTTGCGTAAACAATGAACTACGATTCCCATTCTCATGATCTTGTATGTTAGGAGTTTTGGAATAAAATGGAAGCACTTTCCTTTTCAAACTATTTTATTGTTGCGGCTTTGGCTTGTTCATGCCTAAGCATTATTTTGTTTGCCCATTTAGAAAGGAAAGTCTCTTTTAATAGTTTTCACCTATAATTGAAGGTTTTATATATGCCTAAGTTCATTCTATTGTTAGCTGCAACTCTTTTCTCTGGAAAAAAGGAGTATTATAGTTCTTAACAATCATAAAGAAATGAAAAAATTTGTGCAATTTCTACAGTTTTTTAACAATCCACATGTATAAGTAAGACACAAAAACATGATTTTTACCTTCTTGGGCCTCCCCAAAGGTTTTCCAGATAGCTTTCTGAGCTTTTTGAGCTTCATCGTAGGCTGCTTCAATGATTTCTTCGCCTCTCCACCTGCCTTTGGTGGTCGTCCAGGCCGCTTCCGTGCCGCCAGTGCAACTCCCCCAGAATCTACCACTATTGTTGCACCAGTAGGCATCCTCACAGCAACAGGTGCTACAATTCCACCGATGGCCGCAGGTGGAGCAATCCCAGCTACCACATCCCTAGGCTTTGGTGGCCTTCCACGTGGCCTCCCGGCCCCCTTCACCACACCAGCAGCTGTAACCGTCTTCTTTGGCCGTCCTCGAGCAGTCGTCCCAGTCACAACAGCAGCAGAAGAATAAGAATCGCTCTTTGGCCTCCCTCTCGGCCTCTCAACACTACCTGACCTAGGCCCCAAACTCTTTAGCGGATGACCAGGTCCCTTCTTTAGTCCACCCTGGTTCGGCTCACCCTGCTTAGGCGGACGGCCGCGGCCTCTTTTCTTTCCATCTCCAGCACCATAAGCGTCACCATTTACCGACCCAACAGAAACATACACAGACCCTGGTCCAATAGCCATGTTCAATTCAGTCCCCGGAACAACAATGGGTACGTCATTTGTCACTGGCATGGCCTGTTGTGATTCAGGAGCAAAAACAGGTATAACATTGGGCACTGCAGCTTTAGCATACTTGGGGGGACGACCGGGCCGTCTTTTGGGCCCAACAGAAGCAGGATCAGAAATGGAATTACCGTTTCCATTTGCAGTAACAGGTACACTAGTAGATCTAGGAAGCTTGTAAGAGTTCTTCACCATGAGTACCTGACCATTGTTCTTCAACCGTTTCATATGGTGAGTCAACAGCGCCGAGTGAGTGGGTGGCAGGTTCGAATACCGACTCTCTATGTACTTAGCTATGGCCCTTTTGCTCGACCCATTTCTCTCCTTCAAAGCCCCAATTGCCGCCATTATCATCTACCCAAACAACAAAATTAAACCCAAGAACTTGCAAATTAAGCAAAAATTAGACAAAGGGTCTTTCCAGTTATACGTACCTCAGCATAAGTTGGGTGATTGTGGGCGGGGGCTTTATTAGTTGGAGTTGGGTTCGCTGCGGGAGTTATGTGAGCTTCACCAGTTGAGTCAGTAGTTGGAGGTGGTGGATCCATTGATGGCTCCATGCATATACATAAAATATACCTGTATCTATATGTAGACAGAAAAATTGAAAACTGAAAAGAAAGAGGCAGGGGAGGAGACTATTAGGATTGGGATGAGAACGGTGATGTAGGAGTGGGGTGGGTGGGGTGTCCAGGTTGTCTTTATCTGCCCTTTATTTATTGCAATTCATCTTCATAAATTGGCCATGGACCGTGTTAAAAATTCCATTTTTTTATGTATTTTTGAATTGGCTCTGTGTCTGTCGTGTCATTATCTATTTTAATAGTTAAAATTATCAAAAATTAATAAAATCTACAATTGAAAATTTTTAAAAAGTAGTAGGTCTCATAAAATTTTTATGTAGTTAAAATTAAATATTAATTTTAATTTTAATTTTTATCTACTTTTTTTTATATTAAACCAAAAAGTGCTAAGTTCAAATTGAGTTAAAAATCAAATCTTTCGTAAGTTTACATAAAAGTTGATGAAATATTGATAAAAGTAATGAGTTTCATAAAATGTATAGTTAAAAATAAATTCGAAAAAATATATGCTTGAAAAAATGAAGGTCAAACAAGAATTTTTTTCAATTTCTCTAAGTTAGAGTCGTGTTGAAGTATTATATTCAGTCCATGTTTGTTTTTCATTCTTTCAAAAAAAATTTCTATATACTCATTTTCAACAACATGTTTACACAATAAAATATTATACACATAAATTCCAAAATTTTCCTTACTATTTAACCACACATTCTTTAAATTTTCACTATTCAAAATAATATTTTCAAAAAAAAAAATGCAAATATTATTTTGAATAGTGAAAATTTAAAGAATGTGTGATTAAAGAGTAAGGAAAATTTTGGAATTTATGTGTATAATATTTTATTGTGTAAACATGTTGTTGAAAATGAGTATATAGAAATTTTTTTT